TTAATGAAGCTATTTAAGATTTTTTTTTAATTTGCAATTTGCACGAAAAAATGAAGAATACAAATGGAAAAAGAAAACAAACGTGGATAGCACCTAAACCAAGAATGAACTTATCGTCATCACGAGCCCGTTCAGACAGGGACAGGATGGTATTTAAGATTATTTAAATTTACGGTAAAAGAATAAACAAACTATTAAAAGAGCGAAAACGTCTCCTCGAAAACTCCGTTTATAAATATTCTCAACTTAGTTACAACGCGGCACTTACTAAACAAAAGTATTTATCAATAAAATCAAATTTAATTTCCGGTTTAACCTAGCAAAAAGAAAAAAATTAATTTCTTAGTACAGTAAATTCTAATATTTATTAATGAAATCAAATTAAATCTTTCAACTTAACACTATTTAAAAAAACGGTATTATATTTGCCAAGAAATATATTCTAATATTTATTAATAAAATCAAATTATATCTGTTAACTCAACACGGAATTAAAATGTTCCTATTTCTAAAAGATAATTCGGTTTTTAAATTAAATACGGTCTCAATAAAACGAAACAAGGATTTTTTACCTAACGGATTTATAAACACGAAAAACTTATCGACGGCGGACTTAGTTGAGAATGCGGCTATTACTCTGATTTACTGAAAATCAAGTGTGTCTCCAAAATCTTTTAATTCGCGACGAAAGCGAGAATAATTCCCACTCTTCGAAGTACTACCGCGCAACAATATGTCGATCGGCAGCGCGCAACTGATTCGACGCCTAAGGCAAACGGCTCGAGCGCACTTATTTGTATTAAAAATGAAAAATTAATATAAACCCATTGAGGAAAAATTGACTTCGTTACATTATTTACCTTACAAGTTTTACTTTAAAGTCTTTACTTACTGTATTTCGCCTTGTTTCTCTGGTAGAAGAAGTGATCGTCTAGTTAATTAAGTGATAATTTATATACCCACGTTGTGTTAATGTTAATTAAGGTAAACCAGAATTCGATGCAAAGTTTGGTGCAAATTGATAAATAAAACACACAAATTCATATTTAAACTCTTTTTATTTTTCATACTTTAAATGTGATGCAATAATTAGCAAATTATATTACAATTTTTACTATTTACTGAGATCTCACTTGAGTCCCATTCAAACGCAAACCATATTCATTTGCTATGAATATATATATTTTATTCAAGTTGATGACCAATGGAGTTAACGAACAGCGTCAATTCGCCAGTTAGTTGACTACGGGGTTGATGTTAATTTGATTCTATTCTAGATGTACACAGGTTGCACCACTTAGGTAAATATTTCGATGAGTATAGAGGTGATACCAACGGAAGTAACTAACAGCGCCAATTTGCCAGTTGATTACCTTACTATGTTGATTTCACGTATACTTTGTTTCAAAAATAGTAGAACGGGTTGCTTAGGGTATAGGTGTCCCCCCCTTGAGCTAACAAAGAGCGTATTCGTCAGTTGGTTAACTTACTATTAAACTTTACCATCTTGGTTTGTACAATTTATCCAAGATAGCACATCCCTGTATATTTCTAAAATATTAATTTTTATAATTTCTATTGAGTTAACTTAATACAACCCTGTATATTGTTTTATATTGATTATTATAATTACCTTTTAAATTATTTAATACAACCCTGTATATTTTTTATTACTAATTATTATAATTTCTATTAAAACACTCAAAAATTCACCCATCGAAACAGATGTCTATCCTAACTGTCTTTCGGGGTGTATGACTTGAAGGCCATATGGTTTACTGGTTAAATTGATAATATTTTGTAGCAAATGTCAAGCTGCCCTTAACAGAAACCCCGGTGGTATCTCAAAGAAAGTTACATAAATCTTGTGATTCACCATTGAAAATACAGACATTAGATTATGTACTAATTTGATCTAGCATTGTGACAGCGTCGATTTAGGTACGTCGCAGCGTTGAGCGTCGAGGTGCCTAGCTTCATGGTGAAAAGAAAGGTATTTAATACGGTACTGTATTGGGACAGATATACGGTAGAATTATGTAGGTGGTGCGGGACGTGATATTATGAAGGAAATATTTAGGGACAGCAAGCGTCGGAAATAAGGCGTGGGACGTTGAGCGTCGAAATGAGTGTACGGTAGGAAATACTTAGATGGTGAGGAATGTGACAGCAGTACGTTGGGCGTCGAGACGTTGATACCTTCGGGAATAGGAAGTTTTGTAGGATAGACGTCGTTTAGGAAGAGCGTTTTAGAAAAGGTACTGACTACTGAGCTTGAAATATAACTGGGTACAAATAATAAATAAATGCTTGCTCATCAAATAATAAAATTGAATGCATGCACATCAAATAATTAAAAATGAATGACTGCGAGCTCATTTGGGTCTGGCTTTTTATAATAAAGTTTAATGGCTTTTGTGACGTCTCTATGTCTTAAATCTCATCGAAATACTGTGGGTGCAGGGGGTGGCTTATTTATTATGTGCCTTGAAAGCTTTGTGTTTCGAAATATTGTTGACATCGGTCTTAGCATCGAAACTAGGAAGATAAGCGAGTTAAGTGTTTTAACACGTGCACGAAATTTGGATATATTACGGACGTTGTTATAGCTATTATTTAGTAGGTATCGTAAATAAGATTTAATTATCTAGGAATTTTTTTGTTAAATAAAGGATTTTCAATTTAATAAGAATGCAATATTATATTTAATAAATGGAATAACTAAATTATTAAGGTACCTGGGTGCGGTAGGTTACAATACTTTTTAAATTTGACTTTTAAGACTACAATTCAACCTAAATTTGATATCTAAACAAAAATCACTTTTATATTTATTCTAGCCTAAACAAAGGATAAATTGACAAACTTAGCTTCACAGAACACTTACCTTCTGGCATGGAACGAACATCCCATTCACATCTCATTTCAAATCGAGATGCAAGAAATGTAATCTAGATAGCTTAATCTGGGATAAACAAACGCAGATGTAGATGTAGTAGATGTGTCCGATGTGGATAAACAAACGTTGAGGATGTAAAAAATGCATCGGATGTGGATATACAAACGCGGCAATTTTCCTTACATTTTAAACAGGAATACCAAGTCATGCTCCTTTCTGTGTATGTATATTCAACAAAAATCTGCACAAGTTGAAAGACGGGTGCCAGCCAAAAACCCCGGCGAACAAATCCCCGAGACGAAATCCCCGCGACCAAATCACCGGAACAAAATCCCTGGGGTCAAAATCCCCGGGGACAAAATCCTGACGACCAAACCCCCGGAAACAAGAATCTCCGGTGGCAGAATCCCAGGGATAAAATCCCTGACATAACAAAATACTCGTGCCAAAAAACAATGCAAAAAAATCGAAAAATATTATTCCATTAAGTTTCAAAACATGATAAAGCATGCTTATGCCCGATATACCCAGCCTTTCACAAAATAATTTAACGATTATCCGCGCCAAAAAATAACTCAAAATAAATCCAAAAATAATATTCTCTTAAGTTTCAAAACATGGTAAAGCATGCTTACGCCCGATATACTCAGCCTTTCACAAAACAATTTTCACGATTAGCCGCGCCAGATATTATCCTTAATGTAACAATATTCTCGTGTATTTTTCAACTGATATATGTCGTGTATTAACAAAAATACAAGATATACGAGTACATAGCATAAAAAATGCTCGCAGGTGAAACTGTAAGTAGGAAAGAAAATTGGAACAAATGGAAAATCGCTTGTCGGTATTCCTCCAAGGCATTGCCCAAAATTTCCGATTATAATATTTCTTTTTATACATATTGTTTGCGTTAATTATTGAAATAAGATTTTCAGCTTTGTTATTAAGATAATTATTCATAAAGTTGAATTTATGATCGATATTGGAATTCATGAGTTTATTGTTGGAATAAAATTTCTGAGTTGTGCGAATTTATGGTATTTTAAGCAATTATTTTTTTGTATCCAAGGGATTTCTTTACAGGGATATATTTTTATTCAAGGGATTATTTTACTGGGATTTTTGTTATCGGGGATTTTGTCGCCGGAGATTTTAGTTTCCGGGGATTTTGTTACCGGTGATTTTAGTTTCCGGGGATTTTGTCACCGGGGATTTTGTCGCGGGGATTTTGTCGGCGGGGTTTTTTTCGCCGGGGATTATATCGGTAACCCTTGGGAGACGATATAAACCGCAGCCGCCACGTGAATTTTAGGTTATGACTGGAACTAACCAGTCAATCCTAAAACCATATGACACATGTGTGTACCAGACACACCCAGAAACTGACGCCAAAACACATCTGTCGCCGCTGAACCGCCCCAGAGTTATTTTTCGCGACCCATTCTCGATTTAGTCAAAATCTTGCTTTTTTCCTCAGTACTACGGATATTCGAGATTGAGATTTTTGAAGTGTTACTATTACTTTATTACCTAGTTTAGTACTAGAAGCTATAAAAAAACTTACCATTGAAAAGCTTCCTTGGTTTATTTAAACGTAAAGAAATCATTTAGCTGAAGTTTTTTTTTTATTTTTGTCCAGCTTTTTTCGCACAGTTGACATTTATTTATACTTATGATCTATTCGCCTATCCTTAACGGCTGCAAATCTGTCTATAACATCGTCGTAAAATTTTGAATTTTCTGATAACTGTTTAACAAACTGCTTTTCAATGGATATTAGGGCTAAATTAGAAAGTCTGTCTTCACTTGTTGAATTTCGTATAAAACTTTTAATGCGCTTTAAAGCTGAAAAACTTTGCTTAACTAACACACTAGTGGCTGGGATGGTTAGTACTAATTTACACAACTTAACGACTTCACAAAAAGACTTATTTCAACCAGTTGTTATAAGAAAATTTAACACATTATTGGGCGTCTTTTTATCACTAATTTCAGTTGTTTCATAAACAACACTTAACTGGAATATCGAAAAAATTTCCATAATTTAATTTTAGTGAATTAAAAGCGTCCGATGGAAATTTTGATGAATCGTAGTTACTAATATTAAAATTGCACAATTCAACAAATTTTAATTCGTTAAAGTTTTGAAATCGAGAGTTCATTTGTTGTAAAATATTATCAAAAATTGCGGCGTATAATCGACGATAGGAGGTCTCTTTGTCACCAACATTATCAATTCTAATTCTCTTTCTTTCAGGTTCTAAGCCAATGTTTTGAGTCTTATTCCAAAAGTGTTCAAACTTTATTAATTTTATTTTTAAAATCATCAATTTGGTCAATGCAAAAGCCAACGTCATTTGACTTTGTCCGTAAAATGTCGAATAAAATGTCACCAAAAAGGGAAAATCTCTGCAAAAATGTTGAGCAAAAAATTGAAATCAAAGTTTTGTTTGAGCCAATGCAAATACCCTGTAGCGGCAGTAACATATTCAGCGTCCCATGTTTTTTTATTATCCCAAACTTCTTGAAAAAAGTGTATCAAAGAATCACGGTATTGAAACACTGTTTGCACTAAACGTCCATTGTAGTTCCATCGCGTCAGAGCAACTTTTGGAAACGTTTTTTGAACGTGAATGTCCAAAGCGCGAGTTCTTTTCGATGACTCTAAAAAGAAGGGAGCCAAACCACCAAGCGTCGAAAAAAAACTTTGCAATCTTTAATATTATCCATGCTTCGCGATAAAACCAAATTAAGTCCATGTGCTAGACAGTGAACGAAAATTGCATGTTTAAACTTCTCTTTCACTTTAGCTTGAAGGCCTTCTTAATGGCCAACGATTACGGCAGCACCATCGTAGCTCTGGGCAACAAGCTTAGAATCACATTCTAAACTTGAAATAATGTCACAAATAATTTTAAACAATGCATCTGCAGTTCGTTCGTTAGTAACGTCCAAAAATCCTAAGAATCGCTCTTGAGGAATGCCATCCAATACATATCGCACAACAATGGATAATTGACTTAAGTTTGCTACATCTGTGGTTTCATCAAGCGCAATTGATATGAAAGGTGCTTTTTTAATTTCACTTTTAATGTGATCGATCACAACGCCGGCAGTGCATTTAATTGAATCATTTTGAATTCTGTTTGAGGTACATCGGAGAGTCGTCGATTCAATAAAATAATTTTTTAGGGTATCATCTTATGTTGCTAAAAAACTTAGAAGGTCCATGTAATTTCCTCGATTGGCGGACCCACTTGATTCATTGTGACCTAAAACTTAGTTCATGCTCTCCCAGGAAACAAGTTACATCTATTACTCGTTGTAAGACGTCCATATTTTTGTTTAGCCTTATATTGTGAATTTTGTTGCCTATTTTTAAATGATTGTCCAAACTATGTTTAATGTGATAGGTCCCGAATGTTTTTTCTTTAATTGTAGAACTTATATGAGATTTGCTATTTACATGTCGTTTTACAGTTTTGTGAAAATTATTCAAGTCTGTAATACCGACTAAGTTCCAATGTGTTTTTTCGGCTATATTAAAAAGTAAGCAAGGCCAGCAAAACAAGTTCTTCAAAGTTTTGCAGCCGGTTAACCATTCATTCTTTTTATAGAACCCTACGTGAAAATGCCTGGTTAATTTTTTTGCTGACTTTTCTACTTTCGTCTTTAAATTGATAGGATCCTTAAGTCTACTAGAATTAATAATGTCGTTTTCTCCTTAAAATGTTTACTTGAAAATCCTTTTTTCAATAAAGAGCACACAATACAGACACAATTTACCACAATATTATTGCTCACAGGCATAGTGCATAGTTCGTCCATTTTACAAAAAGAAAAACAACTACGAAAAACAAACCTAAATCTATCTGAAGTCTACGATTTTACAACGATTCGCGATGCGAATTGCAATATGCGTAAGGCGACGTAAAAATCGCTGCCTCTCGACCGTATTTTACGTGTTCAAACAGACTGACACTGTCGCAGCAAAGCAGGGTCAATAACACGAAGCGAAATCAGTTGGAAGATAAGCCGGCTTTTTCAAGACTCGCTTCCGCCGACGGACTCGAAGTATATGATATGCGTTTACACAATTAATTGTCTCATGGGTGGTGCGTGCGTTTACACAATACACTAATGTATTGTTAGTACATTTACGAAGTTTACGTAATGTTTTAGAGAAAATATAGTACCTAAATTAATATTAATTTCTATGCATTGTAAACTGAAAAATATTTGTTTTTAAATCTCAAAGTATAGTAAAGCTTGCTTCCCCCGCTTTCATGGACTGCAAGCCCCTAATTAGGTTAATTATTCATTTAAATAATTAATTATTGTGTGTGGATAAAGGATCAATATCCAAAGCAAAAAAACTAAAAGTTGTTTGCAGTATTATTCTCTATAATATTTGTTTTATACATGATATCTCTAAAATGGATCGTAATCAAAAAATTTGAGAAAAAGTGTAAAATTTTAATTTTTTTGTATTTTCGTTGGTAATGAATATATTTATAAAAAATGTTTCGAGTAAGATGTATGTACCAGTGTACCTATTTAGTATATCCTCTAAATATTTACAGAATAACTGGAAAAAGCCTATAATAACTTTAGGTAAAACAGGAATCTCACTTGAATATTTGTTCTAAAATATTATTTTGATTATTTTATACTATTCTTAGCTTGTTATGTAAATGGAGAAAACGCTTTAAGATATTCTAAATAAATAGAATAAAAATTGTATGTGCCAGTGTCTGAAAAGTACAAACTGTGTTAGTTGTACGAGTTTTTTGGGTGTTTGTATTTATTTTATATTTTGTCTAATTAGTCTCTTAAATAATTTACGTCGTAAAAATATAGACCACAATAGGATTGTTAATGGCTATATTTATATTTTTTTAATGGAAATTCCTTCAAGATTGTTCATGCTACAAAGTTGAATTACATACAAAAAGAATAAAAACGTCCACTCTTTTAATAACATAGTGTTTGCTACCTATTTTTACTACTTTTCCAGCCTCTGTACTGTTTGTTTTGAGGCTAGAATATATAACATCTTTTCAAAACAACACGGACATGCTAACTCGTATCTTTTTTTTGTTCTTGTTTGGGTTTCAAACGTTACGGCGTGCAGTAAATTTTAAGTTGGGCTCAAGTTGCACATCGGGTCTTTCTTGGACCGGAACAGAGTTGGTTTTAGTGAATTCTAGAATATTTTATTTATTTATTTATATTATATTATTGCATAGTATTAAAATGTAAAGATTTTGTAAACTCAATAACGTTGGAACTATTTTCAGTTTGTTTATCTTACTATATTTGTAAGACCCTTATATTTTTTAATAATTCTAATATTTATATTAGCTTGATTTACTAATAGCCCCAAAATAATTTGACACTTCAGTGAGGTAGAAAGAAAAAGGTTATTGATATGTTTTGCTTTGACCGTAAATTCTGGTAATGTTATTGATTTCACTATGACAAACTAACTAGGGCCTGAAGGTTACACTGAAGTGAAATTTAAATTCATTCGAGTTTTTTGTTTAAAATAATTAATATTGAGATATTAGAGTATATTCATTTTTGCTTGTTTACTGTTACCAATTTATTATTATTATTATTATTATTATTATTATTATTATTATTATTATTATTATTATTATTATTATTATTATTATTATTATTATTATTATTATTATTATTATTATTATTATTATTATTATTATTATTATTATTATTATTATTATTATTATTATTATTATTATTATTATTATTATTATTATTATTATTATTATTATTATTATTATTATTATTATTATTATTATTATTATTATTATTATTATTATTATTATTATTATTATTATTATTATTATTATTATTATTATTATTATTATTATTATTATTATTATTATTATTATTATTATTATTATTATTATTATTATTATTATTATTATTATTATTGTTATTAATATTTAAATTATTTGTTGCAAGAGATATGTTAATCACCGCTGTTGACTGTTTTGCCTGTGTTGTCTTGGAAATTGTTTTGTTTATTCTTGTTGATACCTTGAGCAGGCCGGGACCATTGCACTTCTCCTTAAGGTGTTTAAGAAGGCTCTGTGTCTGGAGGGGAACCTCGCGCTTTGGTGTCCATTGCACTCCACCAGTGGTATTGTCAAGTGATCTAAATCACGGATTATTATTTTTTATTGTTTTGTGTAGCAAGTTTTCTGCGATCTTGAGTGAGTACTGTATTACTCATTGCACAAATCGATACATTTGTTCAGGCACTTTGGATGGGTGTTTCGCGTTTAATGCCCATGGCACATTCATTGTGAGTACGTTGTCGTTTCTGGAACAGTCTAAAAATTGAAAATGGATTTTATTTTTAGGAATCAAATTGATAATTACGCCTAAGCACATAAAAATTATTTATTTCAATCCAACTACTTGGTATTCACAATTTAAAGCAGTTTGTTATGTCAATGATTTCTTCTCAAGATTAATTGTTTATTATTTATGCCTAACTTTAATTAAGTCATGTTTTATAGAATAAGTATGCTCAGAAGTATTTAATATTTCCAGGTATGCCATTGACCATTCTGAATCGGAATCGCCCAGTCGCTTATAGTGGATTCGACTCAAATGCTCTTGCTCGATGACAAAGCGCTTTTAGTTCTGAATTGATTTGGGCAGCATTTTTATAATTCAAGTTTATATCTAGCAGTGCACACAGCAAGCACGAGCTAGTATTTGACATTGGTGTAGCGCATCTTTATCGTTATTCGACTGGCACAGTTAGCACTTAACATTTCAGGCTTCTAACAAATTTTTAACGATATTTATTTATAGTTGCCAAACCAAAAATTAAATCTCTATTAATTTCAAAGATTTTTCATTCTCACTAATAATAAAAACAAAGATGGTAACATATTTAAAATTATTAAATAATTCCTAACCTCCAAAATGACACTGGCACTGAAAAAAAGTACAGTTCCAAAAAATTCGAACTTTGAGCAAGAGCGCCTACCAGTCGAACCAAAATTTCACTATGCCTTGGTACCGAGCAATTTGAGTCGAATGCAATAATTGACTTTTAATTAATTAGGTTCTGCCAGTCAAACAGACACCACTCAAAAAAGTAGAACTAAATGCGCATTAATGCAGCCAGTCGAATCCGCTATTAGTTATTTACATCAAGTGGGTAATTATTTTTTTGTATTGTTACACTGGTTTTTGGTATCGCAATTTATTTTAACTAAACTTTAACAACAATTATACAACTGATACAATAACTT